CGATGTGCCCCCCCCCCCCATTGGAGCACTTGTGTAAAGAGGAGCTTCTGCTCACAGCTGGCCGGTTACCTGCTTGTGTAGGAGCTGCAGGTGAAGGCCCCAGTTTTCCCTCAGTGGGCCAGTGTGCTGCCCTGCTGGAGTCTGGGGCATGCAGGTTGAATGCCTATGCTTGCTAGGTCACTGGGGCAGGGACTCAGATCTCATGACCAGTCCTGCAGGGTATGGGCCCCTTAACTGCCAGCATGGGCCAAACCTATACATATTTTTTTAATGTTTTAAAAAACAAAAACATGGGGACCAGCAGTTAGCGTAATGGCTGTGTCGCTGGACTCCCATGTAGTCGACTGTGGTTCAACTCCTGAACCTGGCGGCTTGAACTCGCGCCAAGAATGTGTGTGTGCGTGCCCAGGATCCCAGGAGGAGAAGGGAGGAGAAGGGATTGCGGCGTGGCCATCCCCCCTGGGGGGTGATTTCTCGCTTTCTGTCTCTCTGTCTCTGTCTTTCTGGCGAGTGCACACACCCTGTAGCGAAAACCTCTCCAAAAAAAAATTAAATAAATAAATAAATAAAAATAAAAAACAAAAACATGTTTCTTTTTTTTTTTTTTAGGTTTTTGTCATAGAATATGTGTGCTTACTGGACAGAGACAGAGAGAGATGAGAGACAAAGAGAGGAAAGGTGAGAAATGACCCAGCAGGAGGAATGGTCACACCTCAATCCCTTCTCCTCCATTCTCCTCTAGAGATTTTGAGCGTGTGTGATTTTCAAGCTGCCAGGTCTAGGATTTGAACTGTGCTTAGCCAGGTTGGAGTCCAGTGCTTTAACCACTATGCCACCTGCTGGCCCAGTTTTTTTGTTTTTAATCACGGGTGGGGGGGTAGTGACAGAGTGACAGAGAGACAGAGAGACAAAGTGACAGACAGAGAGAGAGAGAGGACCTTCCAGGTGGGTGTGGTCATGCTGTCAACTTCTTCCTCCGTTTCTCCAGCTCACCAGGATTGTGCACACACGGACAGTGTATTTTTCAAGCTACCAAGGACCAGAACAAGAACCAGTCACCTGTGTGGGCTCTGGCTGGCTCTGTTTACGTTTTATTAAGAAGAAATTGGGGGGGCATCAGGTGGCATAGTGGTTAAGATGCTGGACTCCCACGTGGTCAACTGTAGTTCGAGTTCTGGACCCGGTGGCTTGAAATTCATGCCAGGAGCGTGTGCGTGCCCAGAATCCGGAGAGGAGAGTGGAGGAGAAGGGAATGTGGTGTGGCCATGCCCCTGCCCCAGGGGGACTTCTTGCATCCTGTCCCTGTCTCTGGTGGCCGCACATGCCCTATAGCAAAAATCTCTCATAAAAAGAACAAATGAACAAACCAGATGGGCACGGGGTTGAGGTGCTGGACTTCTACATGGCTAGTGGCGTGACCACAGGACCTAAGCAAAACCTTTTTAAATAAAGGGCTTGGAGCCAGCAGATGGCATGGTGGTTGAGGCGCTGGACTTCCTCATGCCTAATCATTGTTCGTGTTCTGGATCTGGCAGCCCAAATATCACAACAAATAAATAAATAAATAGATGTTAAAATAAATAAATAATATTTTTTAAAATGTAAAGGCTCTTGGGACCAGCAGTTAGCATAACGGCTGTGTCACTGGACTCCCACGTAGTCGACTGTGGTTTGAGTCCCGGACCTGGTGGCTTAAAACTCACGCTGGGCACGTGTGCATGCGCGCCCAAGATCCCAAGAGGAGAATGGAGGAGAAGGGATTGCTGCGTGGCCGTCCCCCCTGGGGGGCAATTTCTTGCTTTCTGTTTCCTCTGGAGGCCTGCACGCTGCCGCTCGTTCCACTGCCATGTCTCTGGTAACCCCTGAGAAACCCCAGAACAATACCAACGTAGATGGGCAGAAAAGAAAACAGTCTTTGCCAGCTTGGCCATTAAGGGTATTGGCGGAGACATGCCCACGTGTGTGGAGGAAGTGGACGGCCCTCACTAGAGGGCATTGGACTCCTACACGGCCAGCCACAGTTCAAGCCCCAGAACTGGGGACTTGCTTTTTCACTCCTCCCCTCACCCCACTTCGTCCCTCTCTGGTCAAATTAAAAATAAACAAACAAATAAATAAAGTTAAATAAAAAAATTTAAAAACTGAAAGCAGGGACTCACATACTTTTTTTTGAGAGATTTTTGCTATACGGAGCACATGCTCACTAGAGACACAGAGAGAGACAGAGAGACAGAAAATGAGAAATTATCCCCCGGGGGCATGGCCACGACACAATCCTCTCCTCTCCAGTCTCCTCCTGAGATTTTGGCATGCACACACACACACGCCTGGTGTGAGGGATTTTTTGTTTTTGTTTTTGTATTGGAGAAGTTTTTGCTATAGGGCGCGTGCATTCGCCAAAAAGACAGAGAGAGACAGAGAGACAGGAAGTGAGAAATCACCCCCTGGGGGGACGGCCACACCACAATCCCTTCTCCATTCTCCTCTTGGGACCTTGGGCACGTATGCATACATACCCAATGTGAATTTAAGCCACCAGGTCCGGGATTCAAACCGTGGTCGACTACATGGGAGTCCAGTGACACAGCCATTACACCAACTGCTGGTCCCAACACCTGGTATGAGTTTTAAGTCACTGGGTTCAGGACTTGAATCATGGTTAACTATGTGGGAGTCCAGCGACATAACTACTACATCATCTGCTGGTCCTGAAACGTTTTTTAATTTCCAGAGGATGGATGTGCTTGCCAGAGAGGGAAAGATCAGCCCCTAGTGGTGTGCAATCATGTTGGAATCCCTTCATCTCTGTCCTGTAGCCTGTCAAGATTTTGGACACGCACACACAAGTGCCTATCATATCTTTCAAGACCCTCAGGGTCAGGATTTGAATGGTCAGCCATGTAGGATTCAGCTCCCTACCCATTAGGCTAAAGAGCCAAGGACTCAGATACTTGTACGCTCACGTTCATAGCAGCATTACTCATAGCAGCCAGATGGTGGAGACAACCCAAGTGTCCACCAACATAGGAACAGACAAAATGTGACCCGTCCATACAGCAGGATATTACTCGGCCACGAAAGGAATGAAGGTGGTGGTGTGATGGGACCTGTCAAGGGTACTTGTCTCTCTCCCTCCCACAGAGGTAAAAGCTAAAACAGGAGAAAGGCATGTATGCGTCCTCTCTGGGCCTAGGTCACTCATATTTCTGCTTGGAAATAAACTGCATTATTATTTATTTTTAGAGTTGGTTATTTTCTGTTGACAAAATGGCGACCCAGATGGGACCAGAGATGAACCGGAGATCTTCCAAGCGGATGCTTCGAACCCAGTGCCTGGTTCCAGCAGTGGGCCCTTTGTGCCCTCTCCAGCTCTGAGCCTCTCCTCAGGGGAGATTCGTGGTGAATTTTCTATGTATATATCTGGGAGATCAGGAGGATGACAACCACCTTCCTGTTGGTAAGTCAGATACGAAGGGACACAGCTCTTCCCTTCCAATCACCAACCTAGGAATTGTGGAACCCACCTGTAACCTACAATCCCCCGCTTCCACATGTTCCACCACTTTGAGCCAGACCAGTGGAAATCTCTTCTCTAATTTTGTCTGTCAATCTCCAAATCAAATAAAAGGAACCCCTGTACGTAATCACCCTGAAAAAGCATGTATGCTTGCTCTCCAGGCTCAGGTCACTCATATTTCTGCTTGGAAATAAACTTCATTAATTATTAATTTTTAAAAAAGCTTAAAACAAGACATGTGACAGTGGGTGTACATTGAAAACATGCTGAAAAAAGCCAGACACAAAAGGGCTCATGTTACATGATTCAGTTTATAGAAAACACCTATAAAAAGTAAATCAAGAGATAGAAAGTATTGGATTGTCAGAAAAGTCATGATGCATTTTTGCATAGAAAAACAGACAACCCAATAGATTAATGTTTAATTAGGGCTTCCAGGGGTCGGGGGCATACGGTTTCTCCTTGAGGTGTTAAAAAGGTTCTAAACTTACTGTGATGGATACACAAATGTGAATATACCACAAGTTGGTGAATCATGTACTGCAAATACATAGATCCCACAGCATGTGAATTACCAAGAAATTGTAACAGCACTCAAAACAAAAACTCAGAAGAGATTTATAAAGTGAGCCTAAAAGCTTAAGTAAAACAGTTTTGAATTTTCAATGTTACTAATATTTTAGGCCAAAGCCAATTCTAGTGCAGTATTTGGGTGTTTAAGAGTCACAAAGACGGGACCAGTAGATGGCATAGTGATTACATTGCTGGATTCCCATGTAGTCAACTGCGGTTTGAGTCCTGGACACGGTGACTTAAAACTCACGCTGGGCACATGTGCCCCAAATCCTGAGAGAATGGAAGAGAAGGGATTGTGGTGTGACCTTCCCCCCGGGGGGATAATTTCTCATTTTCTGTCTCTCTGTCTCTAGTGAGCATATACATACCCTATAGAAAAATCTCTCTCAAAAAAACATTAAAAATAATCACAAAGGCATCTGGAAGTCCAGGCCACAGCAGTCCACTCAAGCATACAGTGTGTGTGGATGGGTTAGAGCGCCATCATGGGTCAAGGGGGAGAAGCGGCCCAGCAGGCTGTCCAGGGGGTCTGTGGGGAGGGTCTAGGGTACGGCGTGTGGACTGGACAGCCAGGGGAGGCTGAGATCCATGTCCCAGGGAGGGCTGTGACCTCTTGACTGACCACCTGACCCCAAATGAAAGACCACCAGTGCCGACTCCCGTTTCTGCTGGCGACCCTTCCACAGGACAGGGGTCAGAGGTCATCAGGTGCACCTTCCCTCTCCTGCCTCAGACCCAGGGCCTCCAGCTCAACTTGAGAGGAGCTTCTACAGACCTACCCACCTGGCTGGCTTTCCTTCACTCTTGCCCACCACATTCTCTAGTCTTTTCCCAACAGAGAGGAGAGCAGCAGGGAAGGGGCCAGGGAAGTGCCAGGTTCTGGCTCCACCCAGCCCGGTCTGATGCCTGGAGTGGAAATGGTCAGGAGGCTGTGGTAGGCCAGGCCCTCACATCCAAATACTGAGAATGACTAGAGGATGAGCCTGTCTAAAGCCTCCCCAGTGAGAAGGAAAAACCAGACACCGCCGGCATGAGACACCTTTATTGGTAGATCCGAAGGGCACCATGGGCTAGTGAAAGGTGGCCTCACAGTGACCAACTTTCCCCTTCTAGTACAGGGGCTGAGGTGAGGGGCTCCGGACTGAGACTGTACAGCCCAAGGCAGGGAAAGA